GAAACTTGCCAGAGTTTGCGTTATACATAAAGGTGGTCCACGCAATAATATAAATAACTATAGGCCAATTTCTGTGCTACCTTTATTCTCAAAAATTCTAGAGCAGGTAATCAACGTTAGGCTTTCTAGTTACCTTGAAAAAAATAACATAATTGTAAAGCAACAGTATGGCTTCCAGAAAAACAAATCTACGGAAAAAGCCTTGCTATATATAAAAGATAAGCTAATTAATAGTTTTGAAAATCAATTATATACAGTAGGAATTTTTTTGGATTTTCGCAAGGCATTTGATTCGATTAAACATGACATTCTTCTAAAAAAGCTGACGCACTATGGCATAAGGGGGATAACTTGGAACCTAATTCATAGCTATTTATCTCGACGATCACAATATGTAAAAATCAATGAGTATGAATCGCAACTAATGAAAATAAATTACGGTGTACCTCAGGGGTCAATTCTGGGACCATTACTTTTTCTGTTGTACATAAATGATATAGTAAACATTCCGCAAACTCCAGATATTATACTTTATGCAGACGACACCAATGTGTTTTTTACTGATAAGGATCTTAGTGTAATAGAAGGTTTATCAAACACTTGGTTACGCGAACTTGCGCTGTGGCTAGAGTCTAGTCAAATAGAATTGAATATTAACAAAACAAAATATGTTATTTTCAAGCCTGTGCATAAGCAACTCTGTAGTAACTTCTCGGTACAATTTAGAAACTCAGAATTAGAAAGAGTGTCCTCCCTAAAATTTTTAGGTGTCTGGTTCGAAGAAACCTTAAGCTGGACAGACCACATCAATCATATTCGCTCTAGCGTATCCAGATCTATTGGAATCTTGTATAAACTTAAACATCTTCTTCCCTGTTGGCTTAAGTGCCAACTCTACTACAGTCTTGTGCAATCTCATTTACATTATTGCTTACTAGTTTGGGGAACTACAACAAAAACAAATCTAGGCAGACTATTCGGCCTACAAAAAAAAGCTGTTCGTTGCATCGAAAACCTTCACTATACCGATCATTCAGCCCCATATTTTGTCAAATATGGAATTTTAAATATTCATCAGCTCTTTTTCTTAAAGCTAGCGATGATAATATACCGCGAATACAGCAGTGACCAAAATGATTTTTGTGACATCTACCACCCTAAAACAACACAATATAATTTAAGAAATGAAATATACACAAAGCCCAAAATACGGACGAATTATGGCTCCCAAGCTCTAGCGTATAGAATACCACAGCTTTTGAACGATCATCCAAGTGTTTTTGAATTAATGAGGAATGCTACTTCCCTTATTGCCTTCAAAGGCAACATGAAACGTTATATTTTGCAATAGGAAATTGCGTTTTGGTTATTCATTGGGTTGAACAGCGTATAATCGGCTCTGATCACCGTTATTTGTGTTACTTCGCTTGAAAGCTCATTGCTCCCCTGCCAGTTTGTACTTTAATAATTCATTTTTCTGTAGAAGGATTGTTTCGTTTTTCGTTCGCACAGTGACACATTTTTTGATAAGATTTATTGTCGTTTTTACTTGTGTTCATTTCTAGTCTGTTCTGATTCTCTGCTGAGCAATGTACAGGGTGGTGGGGCCTCGTCAGGTAAATCTGTTTACCTTTTGCCCCTCCACCTGAGACTCAAGGAGTCCAAATAAAGATTATTATTAAGAGCGGGGGTTCGTCTGGTAGTACGAGCAAAAAAATTGGGCTTTGTCTGCTAAAGTGGGCAAAAAAAAAAAAGGAGGTTTGTCTGATAACGCGAACAAAATGCGGGCGTTTGTCTGCTAACGCGAGCAAAAAACGGGAGTTCGTCTGCTAACAACAGCGAATAACGTGCATTCGTCTGCTCGAGCGAAGAGCAACACTTCGTCTAATAATGCGGAGAAAAAAAAAGAAAAAAAAACCCGAAGTTTTTGTTTTGTTCAAGCGATAAAAAAATAACTGGGGTTCGTCTGCTAACGCAAAAAAAAAAATGGAGGTCTGTTTGCGAACGCGAGCAAAGAAACGGGAGTTCGTCTGCTAACGCGGCAGACCGGACGCTCGTCAACTATCACTGCTAAGAACGGGCGGGGATTTGTCTGCACCAATGCATATTTCGCAAACGAAAACAAAATAAAAATAAGTGAGAAGCTCTTACACGTAATGGGCTAAGTGAATTAGAGAAAAATAGTCTTTTATAAATTTAATTTTGCAGGTGATCCGATCGAACAAAAGCACGACCTCTGAACATAGGCGATTTTGCTGGCAAGCGGTCGACAATCAATACTCCCCTTAGAAATGTATAGTCATTTTGCGGCCGTAAATAATCTAGTCGCCACCGTAGAAAAAAACGAATTGAAACAAGCACGTCTGCTGCCATGTCAAGTGTACGGTTTACTACGGTTAAAAAAATGCCATTTCGTCGAAGCACGTTTTAGAGAACGGGCACGTTTTAACGAAGCACAGTTTAGAGAAAGCAGAGCCTCAGTTTAGACAAATGCCGTTTATCGAAAAGGGGACGCTATTTAAAAAAGGGTTTTCTACTTCGCGCGTGTATCACTGGTGCGCGTGTTAACCCAAGCCCCCCGCTGCGCTCCCGCCGCTTCGCGGCGGCAGTCTGCGGCGGCTCATTACAAAAATGTTAACTCAGCTGACTTATCCGCACACGCCACTTCGCGACGGCCGAATCCGCTAAAAGGGGGCTCATCGACATTTTCTCTAAACTGGGTTTCTCTATAAACAAATTTGATAAACTGGGGTCGGTAAAAGGGCATTCACTAAAACGAGCTTCTCTAAACCGAACAATCAATCGCCGGATTTTCTTTTTTTCTTCTTTTTATTAAGGCTTTTATTAAATTCACTTGTGTGGTGAAAAGAAATGACTTCGCGATTTAATCAAAACCAAAATATTTAGTGTCATCCAAAATCGTTTTTAAGGATACAAAAACCACCGATGTCGCGTTTGTATTATCAGTGTCGTGCAGGTACCACAAAACACATGTCGGTGAGTATTTCAGAAGGAACTTCTTCACGAAAAAATTCTTACACGTAAATTCCCCACGGAATAATAAAATATGGCAGATGTGCCGAAAACTTTCGTTCATCACAACGCTGTAACGTTTAGTCCAATGGCCAGCCGAATAATAAGCAGCACACCAGTTGTGCTGCTTATGCGAAGATATGTCGATGACGATCGATTCTTACTGCGCCGATCCTGAGTCATACGTTGATCTGATATTGAAAGGATGTTGCCTTCATTTAGTGTCGATACGTTGTTGATGAATAAATGATTTTAATGTCGTGATCTGTTTTCCCGCCAAATTTAGCGGGGAAACTGAATTGGCGCATAGCTCACGTGACGTCGATCTTTCCGCCAAATTTAGTGTGGATACTGATTTAGCCAAATTTAGCGGGGACCTAAATATCCTGTAAGTCCCATGACGTCAGGTCACATGACATTAATATGTCCGCCAAATTTAGCGGGGAAACTGAATTGATGCTGTGGGCTCTGCGGCCCATCATGGGCCGAAAGAACGTGTGCTCTGCGCCCGGCGCGCAACGTGCGCGCGAGCCACGTTGGAGGCGCGGGGCTCGGCAGTCGGCAGTCGGTTGGCTGCCGCCAGACAGTAAAGGTGTGTTCTATGATATCTGCCTCGTTGGTCCTTCTTGCGGGTGAGCAGTAGCACCGAACCCTACATTGTTTGGCGCTCCACGCGAGGCCTACTGCTCGCCCGCGGGTTGGACCGCAGGCTTTTAGCCCGTTTTAGGCGTGTTCGCCCGGTTTTCTCGCTTTCGCCATCCCCGATAGGCCTACGTGGTCGTTCGACTAGGCTTCGGCCACCGGACGCCATCTTTGCCATCGGGGCTTGGCCGTTGTGAATAGTGTGCATATTGTAGTATATTGCGTGTTTTTCCGTTCTTTTGTGTTTCGTTTTGTTCTGTTTTTTCTGTTTGCTTGTTTTTCTGCGGTTGCTACGGCGATGCAGACCCGCCATAGAGCCGCAGCAGACCAAGGCGAGACCAGAGAAGGGCCTGACCCGACGTCCATGGACCTGATGGCTCGGGTGGCCAACCTGTGCGACACCGTCGCGCAACGCCTGGTCCTGGCTGACCACGGACACCAAGGGCAAGGGCCACGACCCCAAGTGCCGGTTCCGTTGTACACGGGCTACGACGGCCGGAAGTCCGTGGCCGACTTCCTGGCCGAGCTGGCGGCCTATAAGCTCGCCACGGGAGCCTCGGACGAGTACGTCCTTGCGCGGGTGCTGCCCGTGGCGTTCCAGGCTAGCGCCGCCCGCTGGTGGCGCATCGTGGCCCCCTTCCTCACCTGGGAAGACTTTCGGCGGAAGTTTCAAGATGAGTTTCTTCCACCTGGGTACCAGTCTCGAGTCCAGCGAGGACTGGAGCGCCGGACCCAGCACCCGGACGAGACCCTCGTCGAATATGTACGGGTGATGCAGGAGCTCTATGAAAGAGCCTGCCCAACGACGTCGGAGTCGGACAGGGTTGCTCGGGTGATGCAGCAGAGCCACCCAAGATTCCGGCCCTACCTGCATGGCCGCACGTATTCCACCCTGGAGCAACTGGCCCGGGACGCTCACGGCATACAAGAGACGCTCCTGGCCGAGCTGCAGTATCGGCCTCCGCCACCGCCTGGAGAAGCTCTTGAGCCGTCCTGTGCCTGGCGAGCTCCCGGGCCCAGAAGAGGTCCAACTCAGCGCCAAACCCTGGATGGCGCGGTCTGTCCCCCCCGTGCGCTGGACTCCTACGCCTTCGGGCAATGGGAGCGCGGGAGACCACTCGATGGTTCGGAGCCCCGGCTACGTGCCCGGCCGGCTGGATCGAGACTACGGCAGGGTGAAAGCCGTTTAAGGTCCTTCCCCCGCAATGCCAACCGGGGCGCCGATCGCTGGTCCAACGAGGGACACCAAGAAGGGCCGCAACGACAAGCGCAGGCAAGCCAGACGCACGGCCCTGACCGGCGCAACTTGGTGCGGTGCTTCGGCTGCGGTCGCCATGGCCACTTCCGGCGTGACTGCCCCGACCTACTGCGGAACAGCAATGCAGCCTCGGGAAACGAGTACGGCCGGTGGCGTTGACCCCTGAACGCCTGCCGGCCGCGATGACCATGGACAACTCGGCAAAACTTCCATCGGTATGTCGAATTCAGCCTGACCTTGAGCTAATTGAGCCTCGTATGACAGTTACAGTGCTCGGAATAGCTGTGGCAGCGCTGATTGATACCGGTGCGAGTCTGTCGCTTATTGGGGACTACCTGATTGAACGGTGCAAAGAGCAGAAAGCCAACATGCGCGAGACTAACGTGCGCTTACAGCTAGCGTCAGGACCAGAAATGCTCGCGAGTCAAGCCGTGAGGTTACAGATCGGGTTTAACGAGAAAAAACGCCGTCAGCGTTTCGTTTGCTTACCTGGTCTCACGGTACCGATTATTTTGGGGCGAAATTTCATTTTCGGGGAGAACCTGGTTCTGGACTTTCCGAACAAAGGCTACCGGTTGGGTAGTGACGCGCAACTGATTCCATTTACCAGACGAGAGGATTGTATCGTCAGTGTCGATAACGTTGGCGTTAGAACGCCTGCTTTGCGACTCCCATGTGCGGTAAGCGATTCTTTGCAGAAGTGTCCTGCTACTGACCAGCAAAAGCGGCGTCTCCAAAGACTCCTGGAAGAGTTTTCAACGATGTTCACGGAGAACCCCGGCAGAACCGGTGTCTTAAAGCACTCAATTGACACCGGGAATACACGGCCTCTACGCTGCAACCCTCGACCAATCAGCGTACACAAGCGAGCCCTGCTGGACAAGGCGCTCCAAGAGATGATCGACACGGGTGCAGTACGTGAGTCACAGAGCCCTTGGGCCTTCCCGATCGTCCTTGCCCCCAAGAAGGATGGAACGGCTCGGCTTTGCGTCGACTACCGGCGCCTGAATGCGGTAACCGTTCGTGACGCCTACCCGTACCCCTCGATTGAGTCGATCATGTACAACTTGGGAAACGCGAGTTTTTTCACGACTCTTGACTGCAGTCGCGGTTTCCTCCAGATAGAGGTCGAGCCCGCTGACATTGAGAAAACAGCATTCACATGCTACAGAGGGTTGTACGAGTTTGTGCGCATGCCTTTCGGCTTGAGCAACTCTCCTGCCACATTCCAGCGTCTTATGGACATTGTGCTTGGAGACGCACGGCACAACTACGCCATGGCATATATGGATGACGTAGTAGTCTTTTCACGCACGTTTGAAGAACATCTTGTGCACCTTCGGACTATTCTCGAACGCATGCAGAATGCTGGTTTGACAGTTCACCCGGGAAAAATGCAACTGGCAACATCTAAGATTAACCTGCTCGGTTTTGTAATCGACGATGGATCGCTTCGCCCTAATGAGGACAAGCTGAGGGCCCTAACTGAGTTTCCTCCCCCCCATGATGCAAAGAGTTTGCAGAGATTTCTTGGCATGGTTGGATTTTACCGCCAGTTTATTCCCCACTGTGCAGAGATAACGCGGCCTCTGAACGAACTGCTGCGCAAAGGCGTCAAATGGCGTTGGACGGAGGCACAGCAAAATGCTTTCCTTCAACTGTCCAGAGCTATTGCTGAGACAGCATCTTTGAAGCTCCCAGACCTCAACCGTCCGTTTGTGCTGCAAACCGATGCGAGCGGCTACGGTTTAGGCGCTGTGCTGCTTCAAGACTTTGATGGTGTCTTACGACCCGTAGCGTTTGCTAGCCATACGTTGACAGCAGCTCAGCGGAATTACAACGTTTGCGAGCTTGAGTGCCTAGCCATCATATTCGCCCTGCAGAAATTCAACATGTATCTTGATGGCGCGCGCTTTGTGATCCAGTCGGATAATGCCGCCTTGTCTTGGCTTCAGCGGCTGGAAAATCCGGCAGGACGATTAGCACGCTGGGCACTAACGCTTCAAAAATATGACTACACTATTGTGCACAAACCAGGCTCACAAAACAAAGTTGCAGACGCTTTGTCGCGCGCTCCGCTCGGCGAAGAGCGCGTGCTCGAGGATGCCAATGTTGTGGCTGCGATAGATGCTGGCTCGCGCTGGGGTACTTTGATTAGCCGAGATGAGCTTCGTGCTGCACAGCAGAACGATGGACTTTGTCGCAGGGTCTCTGAGTGGTTATCTTCACGTGACCGACGTGGCAACAGAGACGCTGACATGGGTTTTTACTCGTACTTGCTGGCCGAAGACGGTCTGCTTCTCCGGTACATACCTCAGATCAACGACGAGGAGGGTGGCTCCACAGACACTCCATTTCGAGCCGTGATACCTCGCCGACTTCGCACGTCCTTCATTAGATACTACCATGACTCTGCTTTGGCTGGTCACAGTAGTGGCTGCAAGACTTTTGAAAAGTTAAGCCGTACTGCAACTTGGCCAGGAATTCGTCAGGACGTGCTCAGGTACGCTCGTTCATGCCCGGTTTGTCAGAAAGCCAAACCGCGCGGTGGTCAGCCCCCTGGTCTCATGCAGCCAGTCGTGAGTCGATCCCCATGGGAATGCGTTGCTGTCGACGTCATGGGCCCTTTCCCACGCAGTCCGCGTGGCAACCAGTACTTGTTGGTTGTCACGGATCACTTTAGCAAGTGGGTGGAGCTATTTGCATTACGGTCGCTGACGTCCAAAAGAATCTGGTCGTGTCTGATGGAGACGTTCACACGCTTCAGATTTCCGGCGAAATTGATTAGCGACAACGCTACCTACTTTGCCAGCAAAGTGTTCCGAGACTCTTGTGCCACATTGGGCATACAACACAAGCGGACGTCTCCCTATCACCCACAGGCAAACATCACAGAGCGGGTGAACCGAAACCTAAAATCGATGTTAATAGCTCACACCGAGCGTCACCCTGACTGGGACACAAAGCTCCCAGAGCTCGCGTTCGCAACTCGCACAACCGTTAACCGGTCTACAGGTTTTACGCCAGCTTGCCTTAATTTCGGAAAAGAGCTGACTTTCCCGCTGGAAAACACTTGCACGACCAACAACCGTGGCGCTGCTCGCCCATACGGTCAGTTCGCAGGAAGCCTACGACGCAGACTCAGGGACATCGTTCGTGATGCCCGGGAGAGCTTGGACGCCGCACGGCTTCAGCAGGCTGAGCAGTACAATCGTGGCCACCGGGACGTGCAATTCGAAGTTGGAGATCTTGTACTCCGGCGGACACACCCACTTAGTGACGCCTCCAGAGGTTTCACAGCTTCCCTGGCGAACCGGTGGGATGGTCCGTATCGAGTGCGAAACAAGGCCTCACGCCTTATGTACACGCTTGTTCATTGTGAGTCTGGTCGACACGCCGGACCTGTTCATGTCACCAACCTCAAACGGTATTATGAATTGGATGACGAACTTCTCTCGCAGGTGGAGAGTGATGCCGATCCGGGTTATACTTAATTCTGCGAGGACTATACCTGATGTTGGTGACGAAGACGAAGATCTAAGAAGATGCGCGTTGCAATAGACTTGAGCGAGAACTAGTGCTCTCCCGACTGAATTTCCGCGGGGTTTCGTGTGATGGACGCGCAGACGCGGATAGTATCCTCGCAAATTTAACTTGTCTATTGCCGCGCCCAACGTTATGAACGCTTTTTCGTAGAAGAAACCCCGGTAGAAGACCCCTCACGGGCCCCTTTTTTTTTGTTTCTCTCTGCTCTCCAAGATGCCTCGCTACCACCGACGGAGACGCTCAGCTTCCCCCCCACCGCCACCACCACCCTGGGGACACCACGGCCGTCGCCCTCCGGCTCCGGGACAACATCGCCGCCGGCCCTTCTACCGACGCCGGGGCAACTCCGCAACCTGGACCGTGCTGGGCCCCCAGGGCCTAGCCATCTCATGGACCTCGAACCTGCCCTGGGAGGTCCAGCCCCGGCCCCTGACCACGGACCCCCCGGCCGAAGTCCCGGAGCCGTTTCGGAGAAACACCCTTACCGACCGCCATCCCAACGACCCGGTGCAGTTCTACGATGAGGAGGAGCGCCGGCTCCTGTGCCCCCTCTGTGGGGTGCCCGAGATCCACAGGGGCACCCACCAGGCCGGCGCTCTCCACCGGGCCCGGGAGTCGGCCGCCGCCGCCAGGGCAGCCGTCTTGCGCCTCGCGGCCATAGACGAACATAACCTCCAACGGGCCCTGGCGGTCGTCCGGCGCCTAAGACCCGCCCTCCTCCGCCCCCCCTCGCCGGCCGACATCGCAATCAACATTGACGAAAACGAAGAACCCTTCTAAGCACCCCGTCAACGAACTCGGGGGGGGGGGGCGGGGGGGGGGGGGGGGGAGTTTGTGGGCTCTGCGGCCCATCATGGGCCAAAAGAACGTGTGCTCTGCGCCCGGCGCGCAACGTGCGCGCGAGCCACGTTGGAGGCGCGGGGCTCGGCAGTCGGCAGTCGGTTGGCTGCCGCCAGACAGTAAAGGTGTGTTCTATGATATCTGCCTCGTTGGTCCTTCTTGCGGGTGAGCAGTAGCACCGAACCCTACAATGCATAGGTCACGCGATGACAATTTTTCCGATAAATTTAGCTGGGAACCTGAATTTCTCTGAAGGTCACGTGATTTCATGTCATGTGACATCAATTTTTTCACCAAATTTAGCGGGAAAACAGAATTAGTGCATAGGTCACGGGACGTCCATTTTTCCGCCAAATTTAGCGGGGGACTTGAATATTCTGTAAGTCCCATGACGTCAGGTCACGTGAAGGTAATTTTTCCGCCATATTTAGCGGGAAAACAGAATTAGCGCAAATGTCACGGGACGTCAATTTTTCCGCCAAATTTAGCGGGGGACTTGAATATTCTGTAAATCCCGTGATGTCAGGTCACATGACGTTAATTTTTCCGCCATATTTAGCGGGGAAACGGAATTAGTGCAAAGGTCACGGGACGTCAATTTTTCCGCCAAATTTAGCGGGGGACTTGAATATTCTGCAAGTCCCATGACATCAGGCCACGTGACGTTAATTTTTCCGCCATATTTAGCGGGAAAACAGAATTAGCGCAAAGGTCACGGGACGTCAATTTTTCCGCCAAATTTAGCGGGGGACTTGAATATTCTGCAAATCCCGTGATGTCAGGTCACGTGACGTTAATTTTTCCGCCATATTTAGCGGGGAAACAGAATTAGTGCAAAGGTCACGGGACGTCAATTTTTCCGCCAAATTTGGCGGGGGACTTGAATATTCTGTAAGTCCCATGACGTCAGGTCACGTGACGTTAATTTTTCCGCCATATTTAGCAGGGAAACAGAATTAGTGCAAAGGTAACGGGACGTCAATTTTTTCCGCCAAATTTAGCGGGGGACTTGAACAGTCTGTAAGTCCTGCGACGGAAGGTCACGTGACATCAAGTTTTCCACCAAATTTAGCGGGGAAACAGAATTAGTGCAAAGGTCACGGGACATTAATTTTTCCGCCAAATTTAGCGGGGGACTTGAACAGTCTGTAAGTCCCGTGACGGAAGGTCACGTTACATCAATTTTTCCACCAAATTTAGCGGGGAAACAGAATTAATGCAAAGGTCACGGGACGTCAATTTTTCCGCCAAATTTAGCGGGGGACTTGAATATTCTCTAAGTACCGTGACGTCAGGTCACGTGACATCAATTTTTCCACCAAATTTAGCGGGGAAACAGAATTAGTGCAAAGGTCACGGGACGTCAATTTTTCCGCCAAATATAGCGGGGACCTGAATATTCTTTAAGTCTCGTGACGTCAGGTCACGTGACGTTAATTTTTCCGCCACATTTAGCGGGGAAACAGAATTAGTGCAAAGGTCACGGGACGTCAATTTTTCCGCCAAATTTAGCGGGGGACTTGAATATTCTGTAAGTCCCATGACATCAGGTCACGCGACGTTAATTTTTCCGCCATATTTAGCGGGAAAACAGAATTAGCGCAAAGGTCACGGGACGTAAATTTTTCCGCCAAATTTAGCGGGGGACTTGAATATTCTGTAAATCCCGTGATGTCAGGTCACGTGACGTTAATTTTCCCGCCATATTTAGCGGGGAAACAGAATTAGTGCAAAGGTCACGGGACGTCAATTTTTCCGCCAAATTTGGCGGGGGACTTGAATATTCTGTAAGTCTCATGACGCCAGGTCACGTGACGTTAATTTTTCCGCCATATTTAGCAGGGAAACAGAATTAGTGCAAAGGTAACGGGACGTAAATTTTTTCCGCCAAATTTAGCGGGGGACTTGAACAGTCTGTAAGTCCTGCGACGGAAGGTCACGTGACATCAAGTTTTCCACCAAATTTAGCGGGGAAACAGAATTAGTGCAAAGGTCACGGGACATTAATTTTTCCGCCAAATTTAGCGGGGGATTTGAACAGTCTGTAAGTCCCGTGACGGAAGGTCACGTTACATCAATTTTTCCACCAAATTTAGCGGGGAAACAGAATTAGTGCAAAGGTCACGGGACGTGAATTTTTCCGCCAAATTTAGCGGGGGACTTGAATATTCTGTAAGTACCGCGACGTCAGGTCACGTGACATCAATTTTTCCACCAAATTTAGCGGGGAAACAGAATTAGTGCAAAGGTCACGGCACGTCAATTTTTCCGCCAAATATAGCGGGGACCTGAATATTCTTTAAGTCTCGTGACGTCAGGTCACGTGACGTTAATTTTTCCGCCACATTTAGCGGGGAAACAGAATTAGTGCAAAGGTCACGGGACGTCAATTTTTCCGCCAAATTTAGCGGGGGACTTGAATATTCTGTAAGTCCCATGACATCAGGTCACGCGACGTTAATTTTTCCGCCATATTTAGCGGGAAAACAGAATTAGCGCAAAGGTCACGGGACGTAAATTTTTCCGCCAAATTTAGCGGGGGACTTGAATATTCTGTAAATCCCGTGATGTCAGGTCACGTGACGTTAATTTTTCCGCCATATTTAGCGGGGAAACAGAATTAGTGCAAAGGTCACGGGACGTCAATTTTTCCGCCAAATTTGGCGGGGGACTTGGATATTCTGTAAGTCCCACGACGTCAGGTCACGTGACGTTAATTTTTCCGCCATATTTAGCGGGGAAACAGGATTAGTGCAAAGGTAACGGGACGTCAATTTTTTCCGTTAAATTTAGCGGGGGACTTGAACAGTCTGTAAGTCCTGCGACGGAAGGTCACGTGACATCACTTTTTCCACCAAATTTAGCGGGGAAACAGAATTAGTGCAAAGGTCACGGGACATCAATTTTTCCGCCAAATTTAGCGGGGGACTTGAACAGTCTGTAAGTCCCGTGACGGAAGGTCACGTCACATCAATTTTTCCACCAAATTTAGCGGGGAAACAGAATTAGTGCAAAGGTCACGGGACGTCAATTTTTCCGCCAAATTTAGCGGGGGACTTGAATATTCTGTAAGTCCCGGGACGTCAGGTCACGTGACATCAATTTTTCCCCCACATTTAGCGGGAAACAGAATTAGTGCAAAGGTCACGGGACGTCAATTTTTCCGCCAAATTTAGCGGGGGACTTGAATATTCTGTAAGTCGCGTGATGTCAGGTCACGTGACATCAATTTTTCCACCAAATTTAGCAGGAAACAGAATGAGTGCAAAGGTCACGGGACGTAAATTTTTCCGCTAAATTTAGCGGGGGACCTGAATATTCTGTAAGTCCCGTGACGTCAGGTCACGTGACATCAATTTTTCCACCAAATTTAGCGGGGAAACAGAATTAGTGCAAAGGTCACGGGACGTCAATTTTTCCGCCAAATTTAGCGGGGGACCTGAATATTCTGTAAGTCCCGTGACGTCAGGTCACGTGACGTTAATTTTTCCGCCATATTTAGCGGGGAAACTGAATTTGGGCATAGGTAACGTGATGTCTATTTTCCGATAAATTTAGCGAGGAACCTGAAATAATGCATAGGTCACTTGACGTAAAGCTTTCCGCTAAATTTAGTGGGGAACCTGAATTATTAGGTCCCGTGATGTCAGGTCACATACATTAAGTTTTCCGTCAAACTTAGCGGGGAAGCTTAATTTTTGTTTATGCTCACGCCATTGAGAAACCGGCCTGTCCGAAATGCAACTTATTTTCTCCTTTTAGTCCCGTTGATTTTCACAATAGGTATCCTACTGTGAAGACAGGGAAACCCTCAAAGCGTAAAGCTAATTTGATAAATAATTTTAATGACAACAATCTTGATTCCACTACTGAATATTGAATAAGTGAATGTTCTGATATTTACAGAACCGAATAACTGAGAAGTTTATTCGGTTATTCGAATATCCGGTTATCCGGTTTTCAACTTCGAATAATTCGTTAATTCGAATAACCGGATAACCGGTTATCTTCAAAACCGGTTTCACCTGCTGGTACTACTTGCCAGTATACGTATCAATACACTAACCCACCACGACATTCATTTGAGGTAGCCGGCATCGACATTTATGACCACTTCATTTATCTACAGCACAACATCAATATATTTTTGTAGCCCTTCACCACGCGACGCAATACATAGAGACCGGACCCCTTAATTAACGACCCCTCAGCTGAAGCCATTGCTCCGTTCATCCTTAACAACGTGATCCTACGCTCAGGTGCTCCCAGAGACATCATTAGCAACCGTGCGAATCGTTTTTATCTCGCACTATTTAAACCATATTAAAAGTTTCCAAGGTTGATAACCATTTGACATCACCTTACCACCCACAAACCAACGGCTTCACTGAACTCTTCAACAATACTCGTGCGGACATGCTCTCCATGTACATCTCCGACGCCCCTCCAACTGGAATACAGTGCTACCCTTCATCAGGTTCGTCTATGAAATGGCCGTCCAGTCTACGACCGAACTCTCAGCCTTTTATCTGCTGCATGGCCGTGAGCCCTCCTCCGCGCTGGACACTATAAATACCTTATTAACCCCACTCCTCGGGTAAAGAAATTTCAGTTGCCAGTCAGCGTTTTGTTCGTTCATTTCTCGGTCTAGTCCCTTTTTTTTTTTCGCACTATTTCCACGTTTGCATTATGAACCAACTAGCCCAACTACACGCCTTGTTGCAGGATGGCTTTGTACGACGGGTGAGCATTTGTGGCGTGAAAGTGGCGAGCCCGGCGCTGCCAGCTTAGGCGCTGATGGGGTCGAGAGGCAGTGCATGCCAGAACGTGGATCGTCTCACAGGATTGGATTAGATTGAACCTGACCTCGGCAAACCGTCGTCTTTGTGTGTTATTTCTTCTTCCAAAACACCCTCATAATATTACCAACAATTATGAGT